AGGAGAGAGTTGGGCCATGGTGCCTGGAGATGACGGATGGAACATGAAGAAACAGATCAGGGTGAGTTAGTTACCCAAGGCCACACACAGCCCTGAGACAATACGGTGCCACAGCCAACTCCTGCCACACCCATGGAGTGCTAGGAACCCCTTAGCTGGACTTACTTTGTCGTTTGATTTTGATCTTTATTTACTTATTTATCTATTGCTTTTCAAGACAGGGTTTCCATGTGTGGCCCTGGCTGTCCTGGAACTTGCTCTGCAGACCAGGCTGGCATGGAACTCAGAGACCTTCCTGCCTCTGCCTGCAGAGAGCTGAGATTAAAGGCATGCGCCACCATGTTCACTCTTGTGGTTAAATTTTGTTTTAATTATTATGTGCAGGGTGCACATGGCGGTCAGAGGACTAACGTGCGACATTTCCTCCTTCCGCCTCTACGTGGAACCAAACGCGTCAGGCTTGTGCAGCAAGCGCCCTCCTTCGGCCACCTCACTGGCCCAGGAACTTTCGGTTCTGACACAGGGTCTCCGGTAGCCCACCCTAAGCTTTAACTTCTGGCCCTTCTCCTAAGCCAGGTGTCCTGCAGGCTCCCGCATTGTCCCCCTGGCTGCGCTGTCCCTTAACCTGACTTACATGTTCCTCCCAGGGGCCTTCAAGATGATTCAACTAATAAAGGCATCTGCAGCCAAACTCCACAGCCTGCGTTCAATCCCACAGACCCATATAAGGAAGGAGAAAACCACATAAATAAACGAAATGTAATTTTCCAATGGGCCATTTTATGAGTTAGCAATAATCAATGCTTTCTAGAAGTCCTTGAATGCAGACTCTGAGTCCCCCAGCTGCCTGAGAGGGAGGGCATGCAGACCCTGTGTTCCCCAGCCGACTGAGTGGGAGGACAATGGGTTATACACATCATCTTGATTGACAGGACACACCAGTAGCTGAACAACAGCAAATCCCCCAGAGCTAAGCGGGGCTCCCAACCATGATATCTTCAAGCCCCTGCTTTTTGGGATTAGGGTCAGTTGCCACCCTGTCTTGGGCCAGGCCACACCTATCAAAGACCTGTGACAGTCCAGCCTTTCCTGCGGCATACAGAGCGAACATCTGTTACTGCCAGGCTGGGATCTGATTCTCCTTCCAGACTGAGGGGAATCACCCAGACCCAGGGGCCCAGAGTGGGGTGAACAAGGCAGAGAAGGAATGATCGCAGCCTTCAGATGTTTTCCACTCATCCCTGGATGGGGCAAAAGTACAAGTGGGGGTTCACGTTCCGTATGTCTAAATATTTAACAGTGATAAATCAAGTTAACAAACTTAAATAAAACGGGTCCTATCCTGGTAGACCGGCGGGAATCCCTCCTAAGGCTGAGAGTTCTACCCAGGTCCAGACAGGGAGACACAGCCCCTGAGCCTCGAGCCTCTTCCTTCCTTCTCGCCTGCAGCTTTTGCACTGTTTTGTGACAAGGTCTTGTTTAGCCCAGGCTAGCCTCCAGCTCAGTATAGTCCAGGATGACCCTGGTTTCTTGATTCTCCTACCCCTACCTCCTGAGTTCTGGGATGACAAGCATTTGTCACCTTTGCCTGCTTTCTGCAGTGCTGTGGATAGGGACACTCTAGGCAGAGGGACATTACCAATGCACAAGTCCTCCTATGACAAGCGCTGAGGCATCAAACCCCCTGCAGTCGTCCCTGGACAACAGCCCGCCCACTGACGGGTGAGCTGGGCCACGCTAGCTGGGTGAGCTGGGCCACGCTAGCTGGAACCCGGCTGGCTCTCAGGACTCTAGACACTATGCCTCTTACCTGGCCGTCACAACAGCTCCCAGCTGTTCTCTTTGCTTCCACTCCTGTCCCTGCCTCCAGGCTGGTCTATACCAGCATCGAAGCCCTTTAAAAAAATGTGTTTGCAGGCTGGCGAGATGGCTCAGTGGGTAAAGGCATTCGCTGCCAAGGCTGAAGGCTTGAGTTGGATCCTGGGGACCTACATGGTGGAAGGAGAGAACTTGCTCCCAAAAGTTGTCCTCTGACCGCCACACACGGCACATTCACCCCATGGGTACTGCCCACACTAACAAAAACACGTAATATCAACGTCTTTTTAAAGTGTCCTTCAGAGCACTGGCTGTTACTGTCGAGAGGCTCACAACTGCCAGTGTCCCCAGCCCCAGGGGACCTGATGCCTTCTTGTAGCCTCTGAGAAGCCTTGTGCTCTCATGCACATACCCTACACAGACAGAAACATGCACATAATTAAAGTTAGAATTAAAAAGTTTAAATTAACATGTGTTTCCTGCTGGGCACGGGAGCACACACCTGTAGCCAAAGCACTTGGAAGGCAGAGGTAGACGGATCCCAAGTTCAAGGTCAGTCAGCCCAGGCTACAGAGAGACCTTGTATGCTCTCAGAACATCAAAGGCTGGGCATATAACCCAGTGGTAGAGCTCTTACCCAGCATGCGTGGACACATCCTGAATTCAGCCTCGCACACCACAGAACCCATATATAATATATATGAGTGCGTGCGTGCGTGCGTGCGTGAGTGCTGGCTGACGAGCTTCACTCTGGCTTGGCTACTCTCCAGCTCTGAACCTTGGCAGTTGGAGACACATCTGGTCTACCACCTGAAGGATGCTGGGTTTGCATGAGAAGGGGTCTAAAGTTAGGGGGTGGGTTTCCTGATGGGAGGACTGGGGACAGACATAGGTTATAGTGACTCTGTCCACCTGAGGGCCATCCAGCCCTCTTCTTGACATTCCCCCAAAGTCACCCCAGTGCTGGTCACTGAGGAAGGTCCTAGGTGTGCAGCAATGTGTCCAGGGCCACCCCCCTTTTCCTACCCACACCGGGCTCGACTAGGTCAGCTAGATCCTCAAGTGGCTTTTAAGCAATTAGGCTGAGCGCTAAGCACTTGCAGATCTAATTGTGTCAACAACCCTCAAAGTGTTGGAGGCTGTGGAAAGCCAAGGCTGAGCTCACCCAAGGCTCAGGAGTCAAGTCCTTGACGGGTCCAGGGCCCAGGCTTCTTGTCCTCTGGTCCCTTTCTGCTGTCCATCTTCTTGGTGCTGACGTGGAGGCCTGCTAGGGACTGAGGTGACCCTCATCTCTAGACTCTGAGGGCCCTGTGGCCCTCCCCTGTCTTAAGTAACTGCTCTACTGAAGTCAGTACCCTATCTATTCACACCCCAGCAGGCCCTCCACCTGTGTGGCCAGAGAGGCCTCGGGAGTAACCCGGTGTTGAGGGCGAGGTGCTTGGGAGTTAGGCCGGCCTCAGCCTCCGTGAGGAGGAAGGGCTGCACCAGCTGAGCCGAAGAAATGAAGAGAGTGGGGTTGTGAGCAGACAGAGGAAGGACAATGGCCTGAGGGGGATCTGAGGAATGGCTCCATGGAGGAGTGACCTAGAACTGAGCTTGAAAACAATGGTGCATCCTATAGGCCAAGCCAAAAGCCAAAAGTAGGATATATTCTTCTGAGTTATGTGGGGATACTTGGGGTGTATGGGTGGTGTTGAAACCGGGTGCCACATAGTCCAGGCTGACCTTGAACTCACCATGACACTGAACTTCTGATCCTCTTGTCTCTACCGCCCACTTGAAGGATTAAAGCAGTGTACCACCATGCCCCCTTCATAGGGTTGTGTCAGTCAAACCCAGGGCCTCTTGTATGCTAGACAAGAACTCTGTCAACTGAGTCACATCCCCAATCCACTGTTTCATTGCTGATTTTTCTTTATGTGGGTGTGGTGTGCATATGTGCACACGAATCCATGCATTATTTTGCATGTATGTGCACATGTATGGAGGCTCAATGTGAGGAGTCATGCCCTCATCATTCTTCCACCGTATTCGTTGAGACAGGGCCTCTCAATCAAACCCAGAGCTCACCAATAAGGATAGTCTTCCTATAGCCACTGAGCTATCTCCAGCCCTCTGTGTTATTTTTCGAGACAGGGTCTCTCATGGCTGAGGCTGACCTGGAACTCCCTAGGCAGCTGGATCTGGCCTTGAACTCCTGATCCTCCCGTCTCTACCTCCTAAGTACTAGGTTTGTACTTAGAGAGATGGGGAAGATCTCTCGCTGAACCAGGAGCTTACATATTGTTCTAGACTGACTGGCCATGAGCTCCAGGATCCACCCGTCTGTAACTCTGCCTCCCCGGCTCTGGGACTGTAGTCATGTGCTGTAGTGCCAGGCTTTTAATACGAGTGCTGGGTATCCACACTCAGGTCCTCGTGCTTGCTGACCCTTCCAAGGGACATCTTGAGTGCTCCACCCTCCCACCTGCCCACCCCACCCCCGCCTCCAACTTCTTGTACAGTCCCTGCTGAGACACCTTCAGACTGTTTGGCTAGCCACTGTCCAAGCTCTGAGCTCTGTGGGTATCCATACCTGAGATACATGAATCTAGCCCCTGGTTTGGTTTTTAAAGGGAGCAGTCCAGGCTCACTAAACCACCCAGGCTAGACTTGAACTCATTAGGTAGCCCTGACTAACCTTGAACCCATGATCCTCCTGCTCCAGCCTCTGGAGTGCTGGGATGACAAGTGTGCCCCCCACTAAACCTGGTTAATACAGTGTCAAGAACTGGACCTGAGCTATATCCCCAGGGCTGTACTAAGACACTCACCTAGACAATTGCTGGGTCCCTGGCATCCTTGAGCCCCTCTGTCTTCTAATAACTCAAGCCTATGTAGAGACCCTGGAGAACATTCCGCCCCAAGGTCTGGTGTCCTGAGTGAGCACCTGGCCAGCTTCCTAGGGTCCTCAGCTCCATCACCAAACTGAACAGACTGACAGCACCTGCCTGAAGGTCTGCCCCCCATTATCAACCTAGGCAAGGTCCCCCAACTTTTTCCTGTGGATGGGGACAAAATAGAGCTAGCAGCATAATTAAATGCCAGTCCAACAGTCAGGGTAGGTATCGCTACCCACAGAGCCCAACGCTCGGCCAGTGGCTAGCCAAACAGTGAGCTATCCCAGCAGGAGGGGCAGGGATAGTCTCCTAGGAACACCCAGGGAATTATTGAACGAATCAAAGAGCACACAAAGGGGCCAGCTGCCAAGACTTTTCCCTGGAAAGGGTCGCTTTGGAGGCCGTGGCCAGGCGTGTTTACCTTGATGTGGGTCATGAATCTTACAGCAAGAGTCGCTAGCAGGAAGGGAAAGTTTTGGAAACCGGATGTTTCTCTGTAAAGGAGCCAGGTGGGCAACAGCTACTCGCACAGCCCTCCCCTAACCTGGACTGCCCCCCTCCCCACCTCACCTCTTTCTGCCCTCAACCTACCCTCGCTATTCCTTCCGGGGGTAGCTCAGGTGGTGAAAGGTGCTTTCTGGAGGGGAAAGGTATTTGGCAGGAGCGGGAGGGTGGGGGAGGGGAATGTCAGCTTGTGCTAACTTGAGGGGTGTGGCCCCAGGCGTGTCAACATGAGGAAGGAGTGGCCTCCTGCTTGAGCTCCGGCTGGTGGGAGCAGTGGAAATTCCTACTGGCCCTCTCTTCCAGCCCTACCTGCCACGGCAGCAACTTCACAAACAAACAAGGCATAGGCGGAAGTCAGCGAGACACCTGGCCTGAGCCTCTGTCCTTGAGAGTTCCAGACAAACTCGGCACCTAGGAGCCCAGGAGCCCACACCACCTGAAGTCCCGCCCACTTCCCGGGCCATCGTGAAGCAGCCAAGTAAGTCACTTGGCCTTTCTGAATCCCAGAGTCTTCTTCAACCGACAAAGGCAAAAAGGACAGGTGTCAGAAGTACACTTAGTTGTTCAAACGCTGCCTCTGCATCTAAGTGGATCCTGGAGACGGCATGGGTCCAGAGGTTCCGGCTTGTCTCAGCACTCCCCCCTCCCTCCCCCACATCTCTGGCGGCTATGGGTGACCTTGAACTTGTGATCCGTTTCCCAACTGTTGGGATTATAGGCCTGCACCACCAAACCCAGTTTTATGCATTGCTGGGGCTCGGCCTGAGACTTTGCATTTGCCAGGCAAGTAAGCTCCTCTTTTCTCACCTCAGGTGCTCACGTGACTGACTGCCTTGAGGCTTTGGAGGTGGGTTATGAGAGAAAGAGTGAAGATCACCAGTTAGGCTCCAGCCATAGGAGTCCATTACGAGTTCTTCTTTTTATTTAGTTATTTCTATTGTATCCGTATGTGTATGTGTGCCCCTGCGTGTGCCCATGTGCACCACCTGATCCTGGAGTTACAGACAGTCGTGAGCCACTGTGCGGGTCCTCCAGAGGAGCAGTCAGTGCTCCCAGAGGCCGAGGCAGCTTTCCAAACCCTCTGTTGCTTCCTTCACCACCCTTAGATTGAAGCCAGCCACGGCGCACACAGCTTCAATCCCAGCACAAAGGCCGAAGTCCAGTGGGAGCTCTGTGAGTTGGAGGCCAACCTGGTCTATGTAGCTAGCTGCAGGATAGCCAGGGCTATATAGACGGATGCTGTCTCCAAAAAAAAGCAAAAACAAAAAGCATAAACCTCAGATTCTAAGAGGCCCCACTATTTTATCTTCCATGCTTTTAGTAATGCATGGTGATACAAGCCTATAGTCCTGGCATTTAGTAACGCATGGTGGTACAAGCCTAAAGTCCTGGCATTTAGTAATGCATAGTGGTACAAGCCTAAAGTCCTGGCATTTAGTAACGCATGGTGGTACAAGCCTATAGTCCTGGCATTTAGTAATGCATGGTGGTATAAGCCTATGTCCTGGCATTTAGTAATGCATGGTGGTACAAGCCTATAGTCCTGGCATTTAGGATCTGATGCCTCTGGTCTCCTCCTGCACGTATACTCACATGCACAGAATCATACACACATAACATAATAGAAAAACCAAATCTTTAAAACAAAAAAGTCCTCCCATCTACATATAGAGACTGGGGACAGCCTTGTGTACATGAGGCCCAAAAGAAGTAAAACAAAAGCAACCACCCTGGTGTGCTCAGTGAACGGGGGACACTATGGAACTGACACTGGATCTCTGGGCGAGCTAGGGAGACAGGCCCCTTCCCACACAGCTCCCGACCAGGGAAGAGTCACTTTGGAATTTTACACCCACGCTTCATCCCAAGTGAGCCCAAACCTCAGGGGTGTGGCCCAGTGATTTTTCTGTGCCTTTGTTTCCCCAGGTGTGACGTGAAGCTCATTCCCAGTGTGCCCCCCCCCCGCATCTGCCGCATTATAGGAATCGCGTCGATGGCTCTCAACCTTCCTAACGCTTCCAGCCTTTAACACAGCTCCTTGTGTTGTGGTGACCCCAACCATAAAATCATTTTCATTCTTCTTCATGACTGTAATTTTGCTGCTGTTATGAATCGCAATGTAAATATCTGTATTTCCCGATGCTCTCAGTCACCCCTGAGAAAGGGCCGTTCAATCCCAAGGGGCCGTGACCCACAAGTTGAGAACCACTGAATTAAGTGAATGACTTTGAACAAGATCGGCAAGAGCGCTAAGGACTCCTTAAAAGCCTCACCATGGTGCTTCCAGAATTCAGACTGAAGGCAGAGGACAAACAGCTAGGAACATGTGACTGCTGTCAGGCCCCACCCCTTCCCCCACCCCCACCCCTACCCCTGCCCAATGCACCTGGGAGAGGCCCGCTCTGCTCTGGCCTCTGTAGGGGATGGGAGGCCAGGAGGAGGCTCACCTGCCTTCGGGTCCGAAGTCCAGGGGGCCCCACCCACCCTGGCACTGTGCCCCACCCCCACAGCAGAGCGGTGGGCACTGCCACGCCCCAACCTGCCACAGCCTCTGGGAGTCTGTGACAAGAACCAAACCTTCCCCGGTCTCCCCCCTCCCCTTTCCTGCTTTTATTATTTTCTTTTCCATAAAGATTAGTCTCTGCTGCTCCTCTATCAAGGCCCAGAGGATAAACATGTGGTCCCGAGGCTGAGAAACGCCAGGCCTGAAGGCCCACAACCCCCACCCGGCAGCGTAAACCCAGGGCTTTTAAGCAAGGAATGGTTTTCAGCAAATCTCCCCCTATCAGCAGAAACCTTTGAAAGAGTTTGTTTAAAGGCCAGGGAGATAAACAGCAAGGAGAAGTGTTTGTTTAAGAGGCATGCTCTGTGTGGCCACTCTGGGGAGGGGAGCCACTTGGAGGCCAGGGCGGGGGCCTCCCAAGGGCACCCTCGGACTCCTGGGTGTGAACTCCTGCCCAGGTAAACCGCCTGAATCCTGGGGGAGGGAAATGAGCCAGGCTGTATCCGTGGGCCCTCCTGGGCTAACGGTAGTAGGAGTCTAAAAGAGGCTCTTAGTCAGCTGCAGCCTTTGGAAGGGAAGGGTCCCGGAAGGACCTGATGGTGGCATGGGGGCGGAAATCCCACACGAAGGAGCTAAGACCCGGCTCAGTCAGTAGCGTGTCTGGCACACAAGCTGGAGGACCAGAGTTAAGATGCCTAGAGCCGGTGTGAAAGCCTGACCTGGGGGGGGGAGGCGGGGAGGGTGGGGGGGCAGGTGGAGACAGGAAGATCACTGAGGTTTACTGACCAGCCCACCTTGCCCAACCAACAGGTTCATCGACAGACCCTGTCTCAAAAAAGTAAAGGTGGGAAGGCCACAAGGTGGCTCAGGGGGAAAAGACACTTGTCACCCACTACCTGAGTTCAATCACCAGGACCTACATGGTGGAAGAAAAAAAAAAACTCTGGCAAAATGTCCTCTGACATATGTGTGCAAGCTGTACACACATGCACACACACAATAGTATGATTAATGTAATAAGGGTGATCAGTAACTGACAAAACATACCTGTTGTTGACCTTGGGCTACCACATCTACACTAGTATGTATGCATACCACACACATGCAACACTACATGCATGATGGTGAGTTTGGTCGATGTATCTTTAAAGTCTGATGCTGGGATGGATGACGAGTGCCCCACAGAGCCCTGGAACAGGTCTCATGGGCAGGAAGAGCCACGGCACTGTCCACATCCTTGCTGAGGTGGACACGGGTTGGTGAACCTTCAGGGGTTGGTGAACCTTCAGGCAGTGGGGGGGGGGGGGGGGTTGAGACTCAGACCAGCTTTTCCCCAGAATCCTTTGTCCCTTCCAGGCAGCAAGGACGTAAGCTCTGAAGACAGGGAGACAGGGAACTCCTGACACAGTTCCAACATGACGGCACCCACGAGTCTAGACCAGAAGCACCACAGCCCTGCCTTCGCTAACCACGTGACCTGGACCAGCGATTCGAAGCTCCCTGGTCTAGTGAGTGGGAGCAGTGTACCATCTCCTCCCTGGGTGGGAAGATGGAAGGAAGGAACATGGGAGGCGGGGTCTGTGAGCGAGACATGGCAGGTGCTTACTAAACACGGGGTTTCCCAGCTGGGCCCCTTGTACTCGAAGCTCCTCTCAGAAGGATGGAAGATGAGGAGTTTGTCCGCCACGTTCCAAAACTGGAGGAGGTGGGGAACAGCTAAGTTGTCTGCAGGCCCTGGAAGGACCCTCTCATTGGAAAAAGTCCAGACTGGCTTTGTGGGATTCACAAGGAGGGTTGGGGATTCCAGAACAATGGGCCTTCTGTCACACTCAGGAGGAAATCCAAGAAGTCAATGCTATCAACCAGTGGAACAGACTTCAAGGCACAGAGCTCCTGTGTTGGGCGGAGGTAGGGCAGAGGCAGAGAGGGCTGCCATTTGAGGAGTTTAGACCCATCAGCTTTCTGAAGCTGCAGCTACATTAAGATTTGGGGACTTTCCGCCACTCCTTATGGGGTTCCAAAGTCCATCAAGATTTTTCTGCAGTCCTTGGGAAAAGTTGTCTGCTGTTTGTCCTTAGTGTCCTGCTGTGTGAGAGACCAGCATGAATCTTAGAGATAAGTGCATGCTAAATTTGGAACTGCAGCACAATAACCTATGAGCACTAACCAGGCCACACAGGTGATGTTTACAGGCCTCGAATGTGTTCTCACTGAGGTACAAGAACATTCCAGCCCCACGGGAAGGACCGAGGGGCACATGTGTTTGGGAGACAAGTATTTTATCAAGTAATTCCTAGTGCTCTAAAACTTGGCCTGGAATAAGATGAACTGAAGCTGGGATCACAGAATTGCAGACCTCAGCGAAGGCTTTTGTAGGGCTGGACTGCGGCCCCAACCCCTCCTCTCCAGCAATGGAGTGCCTGGGACCTCAGGGCTCCTTCTCTCTGCCCTGCCGATGCAATGCCAGGGAGAACCCTCGTGCCTGGCAGCTGGAAGCCAGCACTTTTCTTTTCAAAGCATCCGTGTCTCCTGTGCCTCCTCCTCCTTCCTCCCCCCACCCCCCAAAAAGGGAGGATGCCCCTGTGTTGAGTACACAGCCTGTAATTTTGCTGTCAAACCTCAGCTAGGAGGTCAGTGTTGTGACTGGCTGTGTAAGGATCTCTCCCTTAAGGGTAATTACACTAAATTCCCCTCTGAAGGACAGCTCTCTCTGGATAGAATACAAGAAAACCCCCACATCACATCTCTGTTCACGGAAATGCTTGGGTCCCTGTGGCTGTCACTGGCACTCTGGAGATACTTCAAGGCACTTTGACTCCTCTGAGGCCAGGCTACAGGGTGACAAGACCCAAGGCCACAGGGAAGTATGACCAAAGCAGGGGGGGGGCTCCAGAGAGCTCTGTATGGGGAACTGGGGCTCTGGGTGGCCCCAAAGGAGCTTGGGGTATCTCTACTTTAGCTGAAAAATCCCCTGGACCAGGAAATGAAGAAGGTCCCATCCTCTGGCGTCCAGAAAGGGAGAGACCCATCCCTTTACCAGCTTGACCTTGAGGGCGAATTACGTGTTCTGATTGTGCCCCCTACCCCCACCCCCACGAAGGGCTGGCGGAACTGGAGACAGAGCTGAGATGGGGCCGTGGCGCCCTTGAGAAAGAACCAAGATAACAAAGCCCCGGTAGTTGAAGATGAAGTGGAAACCAGCACACCTGTCCATCACTCACAGCACTCCTCGGGGACGCTATCTCCCCACTGGTCTCCCACCCAGGGGACCCAACGACGGCAGGAAAGAAAAGCGGTTATGACCTCCCAGGTCCAGCCCTGGAGCTTCCCCTTCCTCTCCCAGGGAGACCCCAGCGAGAACTAGAGAGTCCCTTCAACCACAACAAACAGTTAAAAGGAAGAAAGCGGGTCTGGCTATATCAATGCACTTTGATAACAATAAACCCCGCTTTTAATTTATGCTAATGTGTAGGGCTGTGGTGACAGTAAGAACTAAATTACAGAGTGGCTTTCGAGCCGGTAATTATCCCTCCATTTTTCGCCGCTCTGGAAGATGGACACACAATTATACTCTCTTGCTGTATATTAATACAGATTCTTGACATCTTCAGCAGACCCGGAGCTGTCATCCAGCTTTTTGTCTCCTTTAATTGAAAATTAATGGTTACTGGGTTGCCAAGGAAACAGAGGCCACGGACGCCAATGGCGCTTGTGTCTCACTAAGGGACTGGCGGCATCAGGAGTCCGGAATGACCTTGAAAGTTAAAAGAAAAAAAACTTAAAAAAAGAAAGGGGAGAGGAGGACCAGAGGGTGGGAGACTGTGGGTCAGAGCTGAGAGAGATAGACAGAGAGAGAGAGAGAGAGAATCGGTGAGACAGACAGAGAGAGAGAGAGAGAGAGAGAGAGAGAGAGAGAGAGAGAGAGAGAGAGAGAGAGAGAGAGAATGAATTGGTGAGACAGACAGAGAGAGATAGAGAGAGAGAGAATCGGTGAGCCAGGGAGAGAGAGATAGAGAGAGAATCGGTGAGACAGGGAGAGAGGGGAATGAAAAAACATTTAAAGAGAAAATTTCTCAGGACAGAAAGAAATTAAATCAGTAGATTTCACCTCCCAAGTTTTGTTTTTTGCTGTTTGTGTTTTTGATTCTGGGTCTCCTATACTGCAGGCTGGAGGAGGAATGTGAACTTCCGATCCTCCTGCCTCCACCCTTCCAGTGAGTACTGCTGTGGCTGGGGCTTGAACTCAGGGCTTTGTGCTCTGTCAACCCAGATACCCTTCTTCCAGTCCAGACATCTCCCCCCAAGGCCACTGGAAACCTGGGAGATGGATCTTAGCTTCCAAACCTGTGGTCAAATCTTAAGAACATCAGCCTCTGCCTAGCTCCAGGGGAAGTCGGTTTCTTAGGTGTGGTGGAAGGCAGGGGGTGAACAGGGGAGAGATGCCGGGGACACTGCAGGAGCCATGGGGACACTGCAGGAGCCATGGGGACACTGCAGGAGCCATGGGGACACTGCAGGAGCCATGGGGACATTGCAGGAGCCATGGGGACACTGCAGGAGCCATGGGGACATTGCAG